AAAAAGCAGCTAAGATTCTTCAATTGCTTCCAGGATGGCAGGCGCTATGCTGAGCACTCCACAAGCATGGTCTCTCGTGATGCTGGGAAGATCGCCCACTATTATTAATATTGTTTTTTTAAATACAATCACACAGAGGAGAAGGCTGAGACCCCGAGAGACTATATAACTTGTTCTTGGCTGCCCCGTAGTACAAGGCAGGGGTTGGATTCCAAACCAGGCTGACTTCAAATCTGGTATCTTTAGATGCTAGGTAATTATCTGTGCATATAATGATGTTTGCTTTCTCAGGCCGTAAACTCAAAAGACTGGGATGGTGTTCCAGCTTTTTGACATAGGGTCTGCTACTTCACCATGAGCTGCTGAATGAATGCAAACCAAGATGGCACGGGGCAACTGAACAAGCTTCTAGAACACCGAGAAGCCTAAACCTAAACCTAAAAAAAAATGCTTTGTATGATTGAATACCACCAAGATCATGTATATGAAACTCTAGAACAAGGAGCAGTAGGCTACAGCCTATGGGCTAGAGCCTGTCTCTATAAATAAAGTTTTATAAAGTTTTATTTATAGAGACAGGCTCTAGCCCACAGCTTATCTCTGTAAATCAAGTTTTACTGAAACACAGCCATGCCCATTTGTTTACATATGGTTACCTGCCTGCCATAATGGTAGAGGTGAGTATTTGTGATAGATACTGCATGGCCCACAAAGCCTAAAATATTTACTATCTGGCCCTTTTCAGAAAAAGGGCCTTTTGCTGCCTTAGAATGTTGCTCTTAACCTTTTTGATGCCATTACAACTCTTTTTGGCAGTTTAGTGAAGCCCGTGGAACCCTTCTCAGATAATGTTTTAAATGTAACAAATAAAGTGAAAACCAACAGGAATATAAAAGAAACCAATTATATTAAAATAGTTATCAAAGAAAAAAATTGTGATATGCCAATGTGTGTTTTATTAATGCATTCAAGAATAAAACCCAGCGGCAGGTCTACTAACTACAGTTATTACTAAATAGAGTGTAAAAGATATTTTGCTCTATCTGAGACAGTGATCATTATGAAAAGATTTTTGATTTCTGCTGGCAACAAGTTTACATGCACTGTTATCAGATTGGTTGCCTGTTTTCATAATTGAAGGACATGTAAGATTTCAATACAGGCTAGTGAACATAAAGATGTAATTTCTTTTTCTCTCATCCATGGACCTCCCTCTCAAATCTTCTCATGGATTTCTCAGGGGCAGACGTCTGTAGACTCAAAGACAGAATCCTCGCTCCAGAATGTTTTACCAGGTTTTCCAGTTACATCCCTGCCAAAATTATAGCGATTACCTTTTTCGTACTTTTTTAGCAATCTGCAGAGGTGAAACTCAGAAAATCCAGAAAACCAATTTCACAGCTAAGTTCAAGAACTTAACACTTATTGACATGAAAGCAAAGGTTTTAAACTCGTTTGCCTTATTATTTTTTAATTTAACATAAACATTTCTTCAGTGAGGCATACTGGTCAAACAGTCCCACCGGACTCTAAGCTCTTCTTGCCTACCACCTGATTCCCACTGTGTCTGGCACATAGTGAGGTTTAAAGAATGTTGGATGAATAAGTGACATATATTTAAGCTGACAGATCTTTCTTGAGTTTGGGTTGCTACTAAAACAAGTGTTGACGGTGTCTATCAAATCGCCAAAAGGGTAAAAACAAACTCCTATTAATTTCCAGTTTTACAAGGGCCACAGATTTATAAACGGGAAAGTGATCATTCTGCAAAGACCATGTGTAAATGGCACATATTTAAATTTTTGAAAAACATAACTCTTCTAGACCAATTTAAAGGTGCTGCTATAAATAGTAACTTCATCATAATAAGTCAAAATGAACCATTTTCATAAATGAATCTTTCAGCTTCTCTAACTTGGACTGGGGGAAATTTCTGAAGCAAATCAGTTTGGCATTGACTATGCCAATGTCTTCACTTGCTGTAGATGACAAAAATGTTCCCAAATCTCCCCACCTCCCACCCTCCTTGTAGCATGGCCTCTGTCATGTGCGTAGTTAGGCATGTTCTCTCATGATCCATGACAAAAGCTTCAATCATGTCGCTGGATTTGGCCAATGGCATGTTTAGTAACTTGAAAGAAGAAATTGCTTGAAATGGGCATGTGCACTGGGGCTCGCCTGCTTGCACCTTGGTTATCCCCATGAGGTCAATCCTGGCCAACCGGCTGGTCTCAGGAGAAGGCCAAGAGACACGTGGGGCAGAGCTAGTTTCCTCAGCCAAGACCAGTGGACAGCCAGCCCATAACCAGAAGCTCCTCTGACTAATAAGAGAGCCCAGCCAAGGTCAGCTGGTTTGCCCTGCTGATCCCTGCATGTAAACAGAAAAGGCTTTTTGCATCTATGAGGTTTTGTGGGTTATTATGTTGCATCACTGTGACAACAGACAATGGATACAGATATTGGTATCTAGAAATAGGGTGATGCCATAACAGAAAACCAAAATATAGAGCATTGGTTTTGAGATTGGGTTGCCTGTGGAGGCTGAAGAAATGGCAATGCAAACTACTTAATGGCAAACATTTTGTAAGACTGTCACTCGTGGTAGCTTAGAAGGCAGAAAATGTATATAATGAGTTTTGGACTTGAATAAAGAGATAAATTCTAAGCAGAACAGTGGAAGTGTTTTATAAGCTGCATGTGATAAAATGTTACAAAAAAGAGCCAAACTAAAAAAAAAAAAAAAAAAAAAAAAGAACTAGATATTTTCTAAGCAGAATTTAGAAAGTCAAAGAGTTGCTGGATATAGTTTCTCATCTCCAGCCAGCTTTCCAAAGTAAGACAAAAGCCTGGGACAAAGACAGTACCCAGGAAACTGGTCTCAGAGTGAAGACCAAATGTGAAATAAAGAGTCTGAATGTAAGACTCTAGCAAAATCTCCAAAAGGGAATTAAGAATGGTGAGAATTAAGTTGGTGCCAAGTTTGTCCTCTCAGCTGGACAAAGGACTCCTAAAACCCACAGAGGGTTAAATGCCAAAAGTGCCTATAATTGAGCTTAGAAAAAGAGGCAAGATTCCAAAAGAACTGTGGGTATGGCTTTTGGCATATGGATGCATATGAAACTCACAACGTTTTTAAAGACAGCTCTACCACCAAAACTGTCACCAGCCTAGACTAAAACAAAAGGTAAAAAGACCTGCAGCTTTTGGTGGACAGGAAGCAAGCTGAGAAAGTTTCTCAAAGGTACATTTTGCAACCTTTTTCAGAAGTAGCTTCGGAAAGTGATGGAAAGGCTGTCCCAATGGGCAGGGTTAAGAACAAAAATTGCTGAGCCAAGGCCTAATCAAGAAACATTCCCTATCCCCTGAGTAGGGGAAACCTGGTAATATGTGCCCAGAAGAATTTGAGAAATGCTATGGACCAGGGACTGACAGATGCCTTCTGTTCTTCTATACTACTTTCCACAATAGCATTATGGCAATTATTTTGGCTTTTTGTTTTACAGCTGTATATTGGGTGTATCATGACAGACATGTCTTTTATTTCAACCATCTCCAGATGAAGAGGAACCAATCCGGACCCAAGGGAGATCACGCCATTGTGGTCTTTTAGCCTGATCCTATAATTGGATGAGACTTGTGGGGTTCTTGGGAAAGAGTGAGTGCATTTTGCCTGTCAGAGACGTGAATGATGGTGGGGATAAAGGTGGACTGTGGTTGTTTGCAAAAATGGTCCCAAGTCTTCACCTTCCCTGCATCCCTGACCTTTGCCATGTAACACTGTGGTGACCTCTCACTGTAGGGGAGCTCAGTCCCACCCCCGACACCAGATGAACCATGCCACTTGCTTTAGCCAATGTGATGCTTGACAGCTTATAGAAGCAGAGACTTGACATGGGTTAGACTGGGGCTTGCTTCACCTCTGCCATCCTCATGAGGACAAGCCTGGGTTAGTCCATGGTCCCAGGAGGAAGATGAGAGATGCATGGAACAGAGCCAGATTGCCTCAGCCAAGGCCAGTGAACAGCCAGCCAGTCCATGGCCAGCAGATCCCCAGGCGAGTCTGAAAGGCACCCCACCTTCCCCACACATGTGGTTAAGCCAAGCCAAGATCAACAGAGTTGTCCATTCAACTTCCTGCTGACCTAAAGTACGTTAGCAACACATGTTTATTATACACCACTGAGATTTTACGGTTGTTACTGCAGCATTACCGAATCATTATCTAAATGATACACCAAAGAAAAAGGTATGTAATTTGTTGAGTTACCTACTCTGCTGATTTTGCTCTATGTTTTCTGGTCAAGCTGTTCCATGCTGAACTAGAGTATACTTCAAAAATGATGGGAATGCCTATCCATAATGCAGAAATTTATCAAAGATACATGGCTTATACCTGTATTTCATTTTGTGCACCTCCTCAATTACATACTTTACTAGTGAATAGGTTATAAAGTTATATAAAGAGATATACCTATGTATAAAGTTATACACTTCATGGTTTTCCCCAATTTTACTGAGAAAAGCTCTTCAGGGCAGCTGAAAAGCAAAACTGCAAACAGGCCAGGCGCGGTGGCTCAAGCCTATAATCCCAGAACTTTGGGAGGCTGAGGTGGGCAGACCACTTCAGGTCAGAAGTTCAAGACCAGCCTGGCCAATATGGCAAAACCCCATTTCTACTAAAAATACAGAAAATTAGCTGGGCATGGTGCAACATGTCTGTAATCCCAGCTTCTTGGGAGGCTGAGGCACAAGAATTGCTTGAGCCTGGGAAGTGGAGACTGAAGTGAGCTGAGATAGCATCACTGCACCCAGCCAGGGCGACAGAGCGAGAGTCTGTCTCAAAACAAACGAACGAACAAACAAACAAAAACAAAACTGCAAACAAGATGAGCAAAGGTTCCAACTCGATTTCCTACATTGTGGCTGAATGCTTCAAGGTGCTTAAGATTTATGCCATAGAAAGTGAGGCACGTAGAGAGCAAATAACAGGTGGGACTTACCCGTGTGGGACCGCAGGTGCACGGTGAGCTGGCTGGAGTTGCGGCTGGCGTAGGGGCAGATCTGGCATTTGAAGGGCCGCTCGTCTGAGTGGATCCTCAGGTGTTTGTTGAGGCTGCTGCTGTCGGCAGCGGCGTAGTCACATGTCTTACACTTGTATGGCTTCACGCCCGTGTGGCACCGCATGTGAGTTTTCAGCTTGTCCTTCCGGCTAAAGCACTTGCCACAGACTTCACACTTATGGGGTTTGTCTCCTTCAAACACATACACACACAGATGGCAGCAGGAAACAAGATTAAAAAAGGAAAAGGCTTACTTCCCACTGCCTTAAGAAAAAAGTCATATACAACCACCAAAGAATGTTCAGAAAACCCTAAAACACTGAGTGGATGATTGGCAAAGAGCTAACATCTTGGGAGAGGGCAAGTTTCTTCTATTTTCCTTATTGATATTATTTGAATTTTTAAAATGATGAATGTAAATTTCTTAAAATTTTTTATAAATTAAAAATGGAAGGCAATTAAAATAAAAGTTTAAAGTATAGGTAAGTAAAAGAATAAGGTTTGTTAATTTTCTCTTACATTCACTCCCTCCTTTTTCCTTTTCACATCAGAGATGCACCCTAAAATTTAGAAGACCTAAGTTTCAGCAGAGTTCATGGATGACCAGGCAAAGATTACATTTCTCGGGCTCGCTTGCAGCTAGGTGTGATCTGTGACTAAGTTTTTATCAGAGGGATAGCAGAGAGAGTTCTCTTTCACAGAAGAAACCGCTTGTCTTTTACATTTTCTTTTCCTGCTTCTGGCCAAGGCATGGGGGTGAGGGAGCAGGTGAGAGCAGGTGAGTGAGCAGGTGAGGGCAGGTGAGTGAGCAGGTGAGGGTGGCACACCTGCAGATGGTGGAGTAATGTAACAGAATAAGGTGGGAGGAACTTAAGTGCCCTGGATGGTCCCTAGGACAGAGCTGCCTGCCTGTCCTAGCCTGCCTGCTCACCTCTGGCCAGTTACACAGGACAGACACAAACCTTTATCTTGTTTGAGCTGGTGTTTCAGTTTCACTCTTATAGCAGCTTAATCTGAACCTCACTAATGCATATGTCAACTTGCCACCTGTGAACTGCTAACTTTTTGATGTATATTTTTCCAGTTTGTGTGTGTATACGTTTTTGGTACATGAAAAATTCTGGCTAACATTAATTTAAACACTTACTTTTTGAATGGCACTGTGCCTTTGAATTACTTTATGTAATTCTTGCAACAACTGGGATTAGAACTCAGGACTATCTTTTATTTATTTTTTTGCCAAATACTGCACTACCTCCCTGTTGACTACTTTCTTGCACTTACAGCAATTTTGTTTCATATCACTCCATATCCACAACATGGTTTTTAAGGGTGAAGTATTTCACTGTATGGATGTGCATAAATTACTGAACCAATTCCTTATCTGGCCATGAAAAAGAGTAAGTGGATATGACATACTGTGTGAAATGATGTGCAACAGTAAATGCAAAACAGCAAGTTGCACCGAGAGCGTGTATCATGTTAACTTAATAAGACATGGAAAAAATTAAATTTGTGAGGTTTTAGACCTGGTCTAGGCAGGCAAAAATTTCAGAATGAGACATGGAGAACTATTAGGACAGCTGACTTTTGGTCATGGAAGGAGGTGGCTGTCACTTTTTTTCTTTATATATCAAATATATATTTTGAGCAAATTGTAACAAGCCAAGTGCTAAAATAATTAGCCAAAGCTGATCACTGTCATTATAAAATAAATATTTGAGATTTAACAATACATCTACAAGTTTTTTAACAATCAGTATTTTGGCTGGGCATGCTGGATCTCGCCTGTAATTCCAGCACTTTGGGAGGCCAAGCCAGCCTGATCATTTGAAGTCAGGAGTTCAAGACCAGCCTGGCCAAGATGACGAAACCCCGTGTCTACTTAAAATACAAAACTTAGCCGGATGTGGTAGCAGGTCCCTGTAATCCCAGCTACTTGGGAGGCCGAGGCAGGAGAATCACTTAAACCTGGAAGGCGGAGGTTGCAGTGAGCCAAGATTGTGCCACTGCACTCCAGCCTGGGCAACATAGTGAGACTCTGTCTCAAAAAGAAAAAAAAAAATAGCATTTTGATTATTAAACATTTAAGTCATCAAATTTAAAAATCCAGGAACAATAATTTACCAGCATTGTCAGTGGTTCAGTAGTTCCTGTGGTCACTACATTATGTCTTTGCAACACTGAGCAGATGCTGGACGTTGGCAGAGCTCAGTGGTTTTCAGCCAGCTTTCCTGGTAAAGAGCCCTATTGCTGTTGCTTCTCCAAACCCCAGGGGTGATTAAGCACAACCCCACTCTCTGAGGGTAACTAAGGTAAGGATACTTCCTTGTTAATCTTTGAACTTGAAAATGTAGCCAGAGACGCTGTAGTTATGCAGAAGCTATTGTACAGACACAAAATGGGCTAACTTGTGTAGAAGATATTTTTGGCAGATTTGCAGAAACAGACAAAGTTGCAGCCCTAACTTGTACTTTCACAATGCTTTCCCTATCATTATTAATAATTATAGTACTTTATTCTTTCTATAATAAATATGCTATGGCTTGATGGATGGAACTTCAACATAGAAAACCCACATGAAGAGTTTCATTGCTTATTACACTAGAATGCTTGCCAATACTTGAAACTTAACATTTGGATAATTAGAATAAATCCAAATGACATGACACTGTGAGGCTGATTAGATATGATGGTGACCCAGTGCAATAAGGCACCTGTTGGTCATGGCCAAGGAATATAAGAAATAACTGTTGGCTATTTCATCTTCCAAACACTGAGGCTAAATAGCAGGCTTTGTGCATTTAGTGAAGCCAAAGCCAAAATTCACTGCATCTTATACATATTTATACTTTTAAAATTTAAATCTGCATCATTTAAATACAAGCATCTAACACTTTTTTAAAAAAGAGTCTAGGCCGGGCGCGGTGGCCCACGCCTACAATCCCAGCACTTTGGCCAAGGTATACGGATCATGAGTTCAGGAGTTTGAGACCAGCCTGGCCAACGTGGTGAAACTCCATCTCTACTAAAAAGAAAATACAAAAATTAGCTGGGTGTGGTGGCAGGCACCTGTAATTCCAGCTACTCGGGAGGCTGAAGCAGAACTGCTTGAACCTGGTATGCATAGGTTGCAGTGCGCTGAGATCATGTCACTGAACTCTAGCCTGGGTGACAGAGTAAGACTCTGTCTTGAAAAAAAAAAAAGAGTCTAAAGGCAATTCTTTTCCATGCAGAAAATCTGGGAAACATAAAAATAATATATTACAGATAAATAAAATCACCAGAAATAATCACTTTTCTCTTTTCCCATGCACTGATCTTTTTCTCTCCTTTTAAAACAAGTATTTATTAAACTCTCCTTTTTAAATTACAAAAATAACACACTCATTGTATTCAGTGGTATAATGTAAAGATATATAAAAGGAAAGTTTTGGCCAGGTGTGGTGGCTCACACCTGTAATCCTAGCACGTTGGGAGGCCGAGGTGGGTGGATCACTTGAGTCTAGCCTGGGCAATATGGTGAGACCCCCGCACCCTGCCTCTACAAAAAAATTAGCAAGGTATAGTGGAGCCTGCCTGTAGTCCCAGCTATTCCAGAGGCTGAGGTGGGTGAGTCGTTTGAGCCTGGGAGGCAGAGGTTGCAGTGAGGTGAGATTGTGCTACTGCACTCCAGCCTGGGTGACAGAGTAAGACCCTGTCTCGAAAAAAAAAAAGAAAAAGTTTCTTTCCTCTCCCCTTATTCCCTTCTTTACTAATCATCACACACACATACGCACTTGTAGGATCATCTCAAAATGCAAAAAAGTACATTCAAATTTTAATTAATTTTGGCAGAATAATTTTCCCAAAATGGCTGCAGCAGTTCACATTCCCACTTAGCTAACTTTGCTCACGTCCTCTCCAGAGCCGGATTTTATTATGTTAAAGATTTTCTGCCAAAATCATGTGTACAAATGGCACCTTATTTTTTAAAATCTGGACTTGCATTCCCGTAAGAGCCAGTGACGTTTGGAGTGGTATCATTCGTCTGACCTATGTGGATCCCCAGCTCCTAGCACAGAGCAGGTGTTTAGGGCACATGTGCTAAAGAACTGCTACTTACCCGTGTGAATTTTTAAATGCCGCTCCATGTCCTTCATGCCATAAGCAGTCTTGAATTGGCAACCTAAAGACAAAAAAAAACCAAAAAGCAAAAAACAAGGAAAGATTAATTACAAAGGGAAATGTAATAACTTTTAGAGGGGAGCTGGCAGGAACATCCTTAACCGAGGGACAAGAGTTAACACCACAGTAATGGGAAAAAGAGACCTCATGTGCCTTTGTACGTGATGACCAGGAAAGACAGAACATCATTTTGTGATGTTTTTTCCTGCTAAAACTGCATAACCTGAATCTAATCACAAAGAAACATCAAATAAACCCAAACTGAGGCCCTTTTGACAAAATCTCTTGCCTATACTTTTCAAAAATGTCAAGCTTATGAAAGATAAATGCCTAACTGTTCCTGATTAGTGGAAATGAAAGACATAAAATCTAAATATAATTAGTGATCATTGGTTGGAGCCTGGACCAGAGGGGGAAAATGTCATTCTTTTGATACGGATAAAAAGGACATTAGTGGGACACTTGATGATGAAATCTGACTAAGGTCAGTAGGTTAGATAATAGTATCTATAAATGTTAATTTTCTGATCTTGATGATTATCCTGTGTTTATTTAAAAGAATATTCTGTTTTTTAGGAAATATACATTGAAATATTTAGGAATAAAGGGGCAACATGTTGTCAGCAACTTTCAAATGGTTTGGGGAAAACTATATATACTTGTATATATAAAGAATGACAAAGCAAATATAATAAAATGGTAACATTTGGGGAATCTAGGTGAAGGGCATACAGGGATTTCTTGGGTACAATTTTTGCAAATTTTCTGTACATCTGAAATTATTTCCAAATAAAACCAAAGTAAAGAAAGAAAATTCTTACTGGATATCTTCCTAAGCTATAGCATAGGAAAAAAAATTTACAGCAACCTGAAATTTTCACGAGTTCCACTTCAAAGGCCTATGGCTAGAAAAATCTTAGAACCCACATGCAGAATGACCACAGAAAGTGGGAGATAGGTTGTATGTGCTGATGCGAATGCCAGGGGGCTCTGATTTTTAGGCCAGGTAGTTTGGAGCACATCCATGAGCAGTTGTCAGGAACTCATGAGGAAGAGCCCTGGAGCCTGGTTAAATGTACAATCTCTATACAAGTAGGACATAATGCTGCCTTTACCTGGATAGCAGCAGTTAAGCCTTTTCTGAGCAGGTGGCGTCGTGGGCTTTTTGGTGCGTGACTTGGCAGGGAGAGAAATGACAGTGGCTGTCTGGTTTTCATTACTTTCCGTGGGCAGATAAGTTTGATAGCCATGTTCAAAAACAAATTCTGGAGCTGAAACTAAAAGATATGGTGATTATTAATTTTCATAATATAAATGCCCTCTAACTATGCCTCAGTCTACCTTCCTTTGAAGAGAGAATGCACATGCTAGTTTGCTTTCGCAGCCTCCCTTGCAGCTCAGAGTGATCATGTGACCCAGTTCTAGCTAATGAGACACTAGAGAGCATCTGCTGGGAGGCTTCTGTAAAAGATTTTCCTCCCTGATTTAAAATGGCAGGGGAGGGGGGAGGAGGCAGGGCAGGTGGAAAAAGAAGCAGTTGAGAAATGCTCATTCTTGCTGCCCTGGCTGCCCTAATTCCTGTACTTTATACATGCTAGAGTGATGATTCGATGCCTGGATCTGTGGCAGCCATTCTGTAACCATTGGGTAAACACGAAAATCAGATGCCGAGTCAGCTCTGAAACCACTTTTGAGAAAATTGGATTAGAAAGAAAAATCTGTACAAAGAAAAATCTACACTTTTTTTTTTTTCTGAGATAGGGTCTCACTTTGTCACCTAGGCTGGAGTGCAGTGGCATGAACACATCTCACTGCAGCTGTGACATCCCAGGCTTGAGCAATCCTCCCACCTCAGCCTCACAAGTAGCTGGGACTCCAGGCAGGCACCACCATGCCTAGCTAATTTTTATATTTTTTTGTAGAGACTAGGGTGTCGCCATGCTGCACAGGTTGGTCTCAAACTCCTGAGCTCAAGCGATCTACCTGTCTCAGCCTCCCACAGTGTTAGCCACCATGTCTGCCCTAGACTTCTTAAATGAACAGGAAGTGTCCCTATAATTTATGTACCTGTAATTTATGCCAGGTAAGTTTTCTGTTAACTGCAGCCAAATGCATTAGGTGCTTTCATAAGCTAGATGACAAAATCCTAATAAAACACCATAAAGGAACTGATAGAAGGGATTTGGGGCAAAACTAGTTCCAATTAACTTTCTCCACAGCATTTAAGTATCTCCCCCCTCAAAAAACTCCTTGTACTCTGAGGTTCTGATGCAAAAAGAAAAAAAAAAATTGCAAAATACAGACTAAATATAAAACATAATTGTGGGCCTGGCATGGTGGCTCACACCTGTAATCCAGCACTTTGGGAGGCCCAGGTGGGTGGATCGCCTTAGGCCAGGAGTTTGAGACCAGCCTGGCCAACATGGTGAAACCCCGTCTCTACTAAAAATACAAAAATTAGCTGGGCGTGGTGGTGGGCGCCTGAAATCCCAGCTACTCTGGAGGCTGAGGCAAGAGAATTGCTGGAACCTGGGAGGAGGAGGTTGCAGTGAGCCAAGATCTTGTTGCACTCCAGCCTGGGCAACAAGAGCATAACTCTGTCTCAAAAAAAAAAAAAAAAAAAAAAAATAATAATAAAATGTAATTGTAAAGATAAGATAGGCAGTCTCAAATTTTTTTGTTATAAAAAATTCTGTGACTACTTTTTGTTAACTACATTTATAGTCTGGGACTTAGGCATGTTTCTCCTCTCCCCTCCCTCCTTCCCTCTCCCTCCTACCTTCCTTCTTTGCTAAATTCATCTGATAGAGTTCTGAAACTTGTTATGTTATGTTGAACATAACCTTCCTCCCTCCCTCCTTTCCCTCCTTTCCTCCCTCCCTCCCACTCCCCCTCTCCCCTTCTCCCATCCTTTCCTTCCTCCCCCACCGCTTTCTCTTTCTGGTTCTTTCTTTCTTAGAATGTAATTTGTCACATGAAGATTTGGCTTCAAATAAGGAGTAAATATGACAATGGAGGCTTGCTCATTGGGTGAACCTGTCAGACTAGGAGGCCCTAATGATGATTTTGAGAGATGCTGTAATATTCTATTTCCCAAACTTCAATCACTCAGACACCACCTTTGACATTTTGGACATTTTATTTACAGAATATGTTTATTTAAGTCAACACAGGCCTAACATCACTATTTATTTTAGCTTTGTCCAAAGCACTCACAGCCATGCCACAGGTTCCAGGTGCTAGTTATGTTTTCTCTTAAACACTAGGCCAAGGGTGGTGGCTCATGCCTGTAATTCCAGCACTTTGGGAAGCCAACGCAGGCAGATCACGAGGTCAGGAGATGGAAACCATCCTGGCCAACATGGTGAAACCCCATCTCTACAAAAATATTAAAAAATTAGCTGGGCGTGGTGGTGGGCACCGGTAATCCCAGCTACTCGGGAGGCTGAGGCAGGGGAATCGCTTGAACCGGGGAGGCAGAGGTTGCAGTAAGCCAAGATCGTGCCACTGCATTCGAACCTAGAGACAGAGCAAGACTCTGTCTCAAAACAGAAACAGAAACAAAAGACCAATTATATGTCTTTGAATCTACGATGGTTTAGATTGTAAAATGCTTCGTAATTTCATATATGAGAAAACTGCTGCCAATTAAACACCTTATGACAACGCTTTCATATTTTTTAGGTATTTTATTTTATATTTATTGAATGGGCTTTTCTTGACTTCTTTGGACATTTGGCAGGAAACCCAGGTTCCTGATCTCCATCTTTTTGGCAGCTTCAGTAGTGACCGTATCACTCTGATAAATGTCAAATGATACCTTGATTCCATAAGCATTTGGTATTTGAATAAAGCCACAGTTTTTGTTTTTTTTAATGAATATATGTAGGGAAGTCAAGGGCTTTGGTTTAAAGTTGGTTGGAAGATTCTGACACACTGATGTTTCCTGTCTTCATGCCAAGTATCTCTGATGCATGAATCAGCTGCACCTGGCTCTTGTTGAGATGTTTTCATTTACTCCGTGAGATCTGGCTGTTTCTCCTGGTTTCCCTTGCTCTACTTGGTTCTCAAAGCATGGTCTGCAGCCAGCAGCACTGGAGTGGTTCTCAAAGCATGGTCCGCAGCCAGCAGCACTGGATTTGCCTGGGAACTTGTTACCAAAGCAAATTTTTGGGCCCCATCTCAGACCTACTGAATCAGACACTCTGGGGGTGCACCCAACAATGTGAGCTCTGACAAGCCTTCCAGGTGACCCTGATGCAGGCTGAAGTTTAAGAACCACTAGCAGAGACCATCCTTTTCCATCCAGCTCAGCAGTCAAACTTAACCCAGCTCTGTCTACATGAGGAAATCCACCTTTCTTGGTTGCTGCTTTGCAAGAACATACAACTGCAGACATTCCTCCAACAATGAAGATTTGCTTCAGTTATATCAAATTTACCCTCGTTACTGTTTACAGGCATTTCTGGGTAAAGCAATTACTTTTCATCTTCAACTTGCTTAATCATGCAGTATCTTGGAAGACATTTTAAACAGCAATTAAAATTCAATACATATAGTTCCAAAATCGCACACGACATAGCTGAGGTGAGAAAAATGTGACCCACTGAAATTGAGTTTGTTCACATGCACAGGAAGGTAATTTTTTTGGACTGCCTGTTGGTTGACAGAGATCTCACTGATTCTAAAATGCATCATTGTTTCAGATATGTTAAAGTGTGTCTTCAAACTGATATAAGCTCAGGTTTGGCCATTCACTGTGTATGTGACTTCAGGCCAGTCATGTGACTTCACTGAACTTGTTTCCTCACTATAAATGGGGATAATCACCATGCCCACTTCAAAAGGATGCCACAAAGTTTACCAAGAGAATTGAGTAGCACAGGATGTGTGATGGTCAAATCTCAATAAATGTCAAGGGGGATATAAGACAGTTCAGTAGAACCAGACTCTGGCACTTGTGCATCGAACTCTCAACTGAAATGCTCATGAGCTAGGATGATCAACCATCCCTGTTTGCCTTGGACTGGGGTTTCTCAAGACAAAGAACTTTTGTTGCTAAAACCAGGGTCCTGGGTCATGGTCTTGCTAACATGACCTCCCAACGTTCCGCTCTACAACTTCCTGCCCAAGTGACCCCCTGTGCTGGAAGGTGCTCACAGTGGGATGACTGGGTGGCCAGGCCTTCCTGACAAGTCAGCTCATGGGGTCCTCAGCACTTTCTTGGAAGGTAGGTGGTAGACCCTGCACCACCCTGCCACTTTCTTCTCTCCCCAGAGACTGGCTGGGCTCCATCTCTCAACTGTCCTCACCATGAGCCTGAGCCCATCAGCACAGGGAAACATGGGAGTATTTTGGATATTAACCCCTTCCCAGATGTATAATTTGCAAATATTTTCTCATTCCATAGGCTGCATTTTCATTTCTGCCGTTTCCTTTGATGCACACAAGTCTTAAATGTTATGTAGCCCTCGCTGGGCATGGTGGCTCATGCCTGGAATCCCAGCACTTTGGGAGGCCAAGGTGGGTGAATCCTCTGAAGTCAGAGTTCGAGACCAGCCTGACCAAAATGGAGAAACTCTGTCTCTATTAAAAATACAAAATTAGCTGGGTGTGGTGGCACATGCCTGTTATCCCAGCTACTCGGGAGACTGAGACGGGAGAATCGCTTGAACTGGGAGACAGGTTGCGGTGAGCAGAGATTGCGCCATTGCACTCCAGCCTAGGCAAAAGAGCGAAACTCTATCTAAAAAAAAAATATTAATTTAGCCCCATTTGTCTATTTTTACTTTTGTTGCCTCTTAGAGAGGCAGCAGGGAGCATCATGCGTGGGCAGTTAAACACAGCAAAGGGCTGGGCTCAGTGGCTCACGCCTGTAACCCCAGCACTTTGGAAGGCCAAGGTGGGTGAATCATTTGAGGTCAGGGGTTCAAGACTAGCCTGACCAACATGGTGAGACCCCCATCTCTACTAAAAACACAAAAATTAGCTGGGTGTGGTGTCACGCACCTGTAGTCCCAGCTACTTGGAAGGCTGAGGCAGGAGAATCACTTGGACCCAGGAGACAGAGGTTGCCGTGAGCTGAGATTGTGCCACTGCACTCCAGTCTAGGTGACAGAGGGAGACTCCATCTCCAAAACAAATGAAACAAAACAAAACACACACACACACAAACTCCAACAGCAAAGGAGTCAGGCACCCAACGGCAGGGATGATTTTGGGAGCAGGGCTAATCCCATGTAACCTGTGAGTCACCGCAAGGTAGATGGCTACTAGA